CTATTTTAATGGAAGTATTATCATTAATCAATTTTATAACATTACATAATATTTAGTAGACGAAATATTGCATAATATTATGCCACATGTAATTTCTATGATTAAAAGCAAACAGATTTCACATTACAATTACTACTTCTGCTTTTATTAATCTCATTGTAACAATAACAATGAGCTTTTGTTTGTTATTGCATACTTCTGCAGTAAGAACTTGATGTCACAAGCATGTATTACTTTACAAGTGCAATTCTCATCTTTCATGTAACATGACATTTATACATATTAACAATATCAATACTATCTCACTTTAAAGAATATGCCTCTATTTTATATTATTTTACAAGGGTTGATCCAGAAATAAGGTTCCCATCAATTTTACAAATGGACAACATTGTTTATTCTCATAGAAATTTACATCGTTGGAAAGATGAAACTTTGCTCTATTTTTCTACATAATCGTCATCTTTTTCTACGCATTTTTGTAGACGGTGCTCCAATTTCTGTATCCCAATGTCGTAGAATTCCGCCGCCAACCCGTTGAGGAAGCGTTTCACCTCTTCTTTGACTTTATCGTCGCTCCGGAAGCGTTGGCCACCCAAGTGTTCCTTTAACTTGGGGAACAAGTGATAGTCTGAAGGTGCAAAGTCCGGACTATACGGTGGGTGCACCATAGCATCCCACCCAAGCCGCAATAACTTTTGCCAGATTATCAAAGAAACATGTGATCTAGCACTGTCCTGGTAAAACACAACATCCTTTCTGTTTGCCAATTCGGGCCGCTTCTGATCGATTGCTCGTTTTAATTCGGCCAGTTGTGAGCAGCACTTGGTCAAATCAATCGTTTTGTTGGCAGCAACTCATAATAGACGATTCCTCTCCAATCCCAACAGATACTGAGTATGACCTTCTTCGATTGTAATCCAGCCTTTGCGACCGTCTAAGCAGCTTCCACGTGTTTCGATCTAGAACTTTTTCGACTGACATTGTTGTAGATAATCCATTTTTTATTGCCAGTGATCATCTGTTTTAAGAATAGGTTGTTTTGATAACGTTTGAGCAGCGAATCGCATGCTGGAATTTGATCCATTACATTCTTTTCGCTCAGTTTGTTTGGCACCCAAACATCAAGCTTGTTTACCATCCCAAGCTTCCGTAAATGTCTCGAAACAGTTAATTGGTCAATGTTGAGGTTATTTCCGATCTCTGTAGTCGTCAAATGTCGGTCGGAGTCTATTAAAGTTTTGATTTCATCGACATCAGTATTGACTGGCCGGTCAAAGGAGACTTCTTGGAGATTAAAGGCTTCTTGGAGATCAAAATCTCTACAACAAAATTTCGCAAACCACTTCCGACACACACTTTCGCTTACAGTATCCTCTTCGTACATGGTGCATACCTTTTTGTGAGTTTAAACGTTTTTTGCTTTTTCCGAAATAAAAACACGAAATGCACCGAAAATATATGTTTTTTTCCTACATTCAAAATATAATTAAACTTTGTATGCGTCACGGATCTCGATGAATACTTTCTTAAAATGTCGGCACAAATTTCAACTTTCACTTAATGTACGACACTTTACATGTTTGACAGATATGCGAGCGGAAAATCAACTGCGAACAACATGTGTCGGAATTTCGCTACGGAATTATGCATAGACCCAATATCTTATACATTACATGTATGTTCTATATTCCAGTACGCTGTCACTTTCGCTGAATATCTTATTCTCTTTCTTTGATGTATGTTTGAACTTGACGCGTTAACAGTTACGACATACAGCACTTTTGCCACTTCAAATATTAACTTCGCTACTTATAACATATAGACTGCATTTCGATATACACTGCCAGTGCTGAACTTTATCATTTATGTTGCGTATACTCAATACTGCGATTTCGAGCTCGCACACGTTAGCGTTCTTTTCCCTCCATTTTGCACACAGAAACGTTCCGTCTATTCATGTAACAACGAGAGAGAGAGAGAGAGAGAGAGAGAGAGAGAGAGAGAGAGAGNTCCGTCTCTGACTTGGCTGATGCGAATGAGGCTGCTAATGCTTTCTCTACGTGGATCTGACAAGGAAACCACGTGAGATTTATATTATTATTTTCTCAAAACATTTCAAATAAGCCGAATCTTTCTAACCGCCCAATAAGTCTAACATTATTATAAAAAATATATTAAATAAATATATTAAAAATGTCTTACTTTATTATATAAGAGAAATATTCTTAGGTTGCTCTAAAAGTTTTGTGGCTGTCAAAGAAAGCTTCAATTATTTTAAACAAATTTTTTCTATTGTTTTTCAAAATATTCACCAACATGATGTACTTCTGCATCTGGTTGAACCAGTCTTGAAAACACTAGGGTCACTTTATATCCACTTTAGAAACAAAGTTATATCCACTTTAGAAACAAGTTTTCGTACGCTATTACCGCCGTTTCCGAGTTGATGAATTTCAATCCACGCATTTTACCTTTAATGAATGGGAAGAGAAAAAAGTTACAAAGTGCTAGGTTGGGAATATAAGGCGAATGAGTCATCACTTCCACTACTAAAGCGGTCAGGAATTCTGTTGTTTGATCTGCATTGTATGATGGTGTCTTAATACAACAGATTTGTCCTCTTGGTTGTTTCTCACGTACTTTTTTGAAATCAGTTGGCAAGCAAATGCCGGTATACCATTCGGCATTGATTGTAAGGTGGTTCTCTAATGGAATAGTGGGAGCATGACCCAAGTGTCTAAAGAAAGAAGCCACCATTTTCTTGTCAGAGCTTTGTCCGCGTTTCACCTTCGTAGGTTTCTCTTCGTCTTGAAAGATCCACTGAGCCGGTTGTCGCTTACTTTCTGACTCGTAACAATAAATCCAAATTTCGTCACTCGTTACGATGTCAAACATTGATTGTGCCTGACCTCGGTTGAATTTCTTTATTATTTTCATGCATCAGTCCACGCGCTTTCTTTTGAGCTTATGTTAAGTTGTGCGGTATCTATTGAGTACAAAGCTTCCTTACGGCAAGATGATCATATAAGATGGTTTTGATTTGGGTCTTACCTATACCTAAGGATGCTTGAATATTCCTGTACGTGCAGTGCACGTATCTGCCTCTATTATGCGCACGGCGTCGATGTTTTCTGCAATGACTGCAGTAGCAGTCCTTCACAATGCTTGTCTTTGCGCGAAACACGTCCACGCTGGAATTCGTTAATCCACCGTTCAACAGTTGCCAAGAATGGTGCTTCATCGCCAATCAATTGCTTGATTTTTCACGAGCAGTGTTGTAGAGTCAGCCCCTCTTTAAAATCGCAGAAAATTATAATTTGATAACATTTTCGTGTTAATTCCATTTTGTATCAAAATGATTTTCTGCGTAATTATTGTAAAAATAGAAAAAAAAATTAATAACACGTCATAGCTGTTCAGCATAAAAAATATCAAAAATTTGAAAAAAATATCGTCGGCAACGCCATCATATGAGAAATAACTAAACCGCGAAACTTTCAAAATAACTTACGTATCAAAATATATGCCAAATATTTATTTTTACATATTAAATGAAAAGAGATAAAAAAATTTTGTCTCGACACAGTCTCAAACATGCGTTCTTCTTACCGCTATTACTAGTCCTATATCTACTGATTTCGCTACGCGGCGATATTTGCTAGCTTCCTTTTTGTCGGGCTCTTAACGTACACTAGTGAATGCTTCAAAATTTAAACAGTAAAAATTTCTAGAAAAAACTACTACTAAAGCTTCTGTTTAGAAAGTGCATTGGAGAAAACATTCGGACACTGATCAATTTATTTTTGGTGCAGATTCATCATGTGCAAGGAGATCAAAATTGGTGAGGAACTGTGTCCTTTTCTTGTTAGTTATAAACGTACCGCAAATCTCTGTAAAGGATCATCTTTAGAGAATATCATATTTTATTACAGGATGGATTTGTATTGGTCGGCAGTGTTGCTGGTCAGAGATATTGGTCATCGATGCTTAACGATAAAGCAACCATAACTTGTGGCATATGGACTCCAGACGATCAACAGGTTTGAGAACAATTTCGGATATTATTGGCTAACATAATTGATAATTGACACCGATGATGCATGAATTAACCTTTTCTAAACTGAAATGTTTTCGACTTTTCTCCATTTAATTGATTAGTAGAAATTAATTTATTTAGGTGGACATTTAGATTCGGTAACATTTTATAGCTGGCATTTATTTAAACATTCCGATATTTAACTAATGCAACAATATATTTGTAATAATATACGTTTATATTAAATATATGGTTCTTAAAAAATCTTTATGTATGCAAAAATAAAAAGTTGGTTCATGCAGCAAATAAAATAAAAAATAAAATAAAATAAAATAAAAATTGTATTCAAAAAGGCACCGAAATAAACTTGATATAAATCCACAAAGAATAAAGCCTAATTAGCAGGGTTACGTCAATGAATACCATATTGACCTATAGGTACAATTATTTTAAATATATAACGTCCTTGAATAATAATGAATATTTTTAGTATAGAATATTATTTTCTAGTATAGTTGAGGATGTCATTTTGAAAACAGACGATGGACAAAATTTTGTAATTTCTTAAAAGCCTTCTGTACTTGTCTTTATAAAAGCCTTCTATATTTGTCTTGCCTTCTATATCTGTCTTTTTAAAAGCATTCTGTATTTGTTTTGTGTTGTTTTGTAGAATACGATTTTCTACCGAACTTATACCGAAATCGTTAGCGAAAATTTCTTAGTTTATTTTTCGAATAATCTAAATATATTTTAGAAATAATATTTTCACACATACCCACACACACACATACACACACTCTCTCTTACACCAAACACACATTCTTTCTCACACCCACATACACAGCATACACGCGTGCACGCACACATGTATGCATACAAGTATACAGGGTGTCCCAGACCACCCGTCTCACCCGATTTTTTCGTAAACGCGACATTTTAAAGAAAAATGTTTCAGACAAAAGTTTTGTGACTTCAAGAGGCACATAAGATGTCATTGGTTTGACCTTGGATAGTCGTTTGAAGATCACGTGAAGGTCACCTTTAATTTCTTAAATAGAAACCCCCATTTTTCAATGCATATTCTTGTAGCTTACCTCGAGAGCTTTCCAAAACGCTATAATGAAA